GCTTCCAGATATTGGTCATGTTCAGTTTCTTGAACTGGAGGTGTTTCACTTATGACAATTCATTGAGCTATGTATTGGTAAAATATTCATTTGTCATTATATACACTATACTTCAATATTAAGTATTCCAAAAGAAAGGTAAGAGTTAAAGTACTAAGTTTCTACATATTTCTGTGCTGGAACATTAACATGTATTGTACTAAGTAGCATTATTAAAAAGATATCTCAATACTTCTGATCTTTAAAAAAAAATTTAGATTACAAAATAAATTATAAAAATAAACAAAATCAAAGCTAATAGATAGTGATTTCTGAAGATCAACTTGAAAAATGGCCAGGAGCATGGGCACAGGACAGAAATGGGACCAGGTTCAGAAACAGTCTCATAGGTCACTGTGTGGACTGGACATAGAAGGGACTTGGCAACACACCACATCCCATCCTTTCCTCTGAAGAATGTTTTGTTTTCTTGTCCTGATTTTCTCCAACTGGCCCTGCATCTCTGGTTTTAGAGTCTTTGCAACTGAACTCCAGAGAAAGGGATCTTCAAGACAAAACTTGCCTCTTAAGCCTTGAAACACTTAGCCTAAGGACGATCAATGGAAGCATTTTGGTATTTAAAATGTAAGTACATCTGATTTTGAACTGTACCCCACAGGAAATATTATGTTTGGAAAATTTGTCTTAGGTTTACCATTAAAAATACTTATTTGTATTTTGAAGGCTTATTCTTGAGAAATTTTTACCCTTGAGAAAAAATACCTAACAATTCTTCTTAATTGAAAGAAAGAAAAATGAAGATTCATCTTGTAATTCAGGATGCTGTGATTCACAACCAACAGAAGGTCACTTCCAGAGAGTCTAATTAGGATGTAGTCCCTGGGCGGAGAGAACCTAGCAGGAGAAAGACCTCCACTTGTCATGTCTGCAGAAGTTCTTCACGTTCTCAAGCCTGACTAGATTCCTCATCAATTCTACTATGTGCTCTTGCCATTGGGCATTAGAATAAACACTGAACCTTACAGAATAGCTAAAATGCTTACCGCAGACTGTCTCATCCTCCCTGCCCATACATTTCCACAGATCATTCTACCATTAGAGTAGACTGTCCTGAGCTCCCATATGGACATGGCTGACAGTTGTAGATGTGTTTGAAGAATGTTTTAATGATTATTTGTTGAGATGTCTCTCACAATGAAGGCTGAAATGATAGTTTAATTATTTTTATAATATCACAAACACTTTTGCTTAAAGCCTTGGACTCTATAAATCTATTTTTGTTGACTTAAATTCATACAATTCAAAGAATATGAATTGTACTGTAGTAAAACAATGTGCCATCCCTAAAATATATGGTTTTGCTGGTATAATCACTGACATCCAAAGATATGAGGTTGCCTATATGCAAATGTAAAACTTACACATTGTGACCCATGTAATCCATGTCAATCCCAGTGGAATGGCAGTCAAGTCACAAAAGGGGATTTCCCAACAATTCAACTTCTCTGTTTATATTGCTCGAAGAGGCCATGTAGGGCACAATGATATTTTTCAAAAACCCCTTTCCATCTAAAATACATTCATTATTTGCCATAGCTTCTCTTGTACCTCTTCTCATCAGCACTCTAATCCTCCCCACCACCTTTCGCCTTTAATTAAGATTCTGCAAAAACAGTAGGCTGCTTAGAGGAGGTCGGAGGGCAAGAAATGAAACAGGCAAAGTCAGGCTTTTCTTTAGAGGAACAGGGAAAGTAAGGGTGGAACAAGCATATGTTGATATGCTTGCAAAATCTGATACTAACACAGCATTAATATTGGGTTCCTGGATAAAGAGACTCTGAAACAGAGATTGGCCTGTAAGAGGCTTACTGAGGAGAGCTCTCAGGAACAACACCTGTTTACAGAATAAGGAAAGAAGGATAGTAGGGCACTTCCAGAAGGAATGTGAAGCAGATGTAACAGAGGCCTCCCACAGTCCTACAGGGGAGCAATGAAACTGGATGGTCCTTCAGAGTTGTCCCAAATCCAGACAAGGGGGCCAGGACTATGTACCCAACAACCAAGAGTCTTTGGATGTGGGCTGCCCCAGAAGAGGGCATGACCTTGGGAAAGGCTGTTCTCTTTAGCAGAGGCTTAGGAAGTCAGCTATGAGCGGACAGCAGCCAATGTCCCAGGCAGCTGAAGGAGAGAACACCTCAGCCCTAGAGTGGGCATCTAGGTGGCACTTAAGAGCATCCTCTGCAAGCATTGTATTAAAAGTTGTCTTTTTATACCAGGTAACAGGAATCACCTGTCCCTATGTTGCTATGTAGGATCATCACTCCTCACTATATGATCTCTGGGCCATATTTGTTCCTAAATACTGTTTTGGAAGGCTGCATGTGAAGTGAGTTTGCTTAGTCTTGTTTCAAATTAGGTAACAGCTATTTCTTCCCTGGAAATTTTTCTGCAGATGTCTGTGTGGAGTTCTTTATGCTCAAGCCTCTTCCTATGAAAGTTTTTCTCTAGTTTTCTGCCCAACAATTTGGATCTCTTCTCGCCATTTACCCTCTGCACATTTTCAGGCCAAGAAAAGTTCATTCTCAGCACGAAAACTGCAGTACAAGTTTGATGTTAGTGATGGTAAGTAGCTGGCACAAATGAAATAGCTCTAGAATTTAACAGCTCAATACTACATGCCAAAGTCCCCCAGGCCTTTAGGAAATTTGGTTTGCAGCATATCACAAGTCTGGCTTGAATTTCCCCAGGTATGCTGTTGCCAATTCAGTTTCTAAGCCATAGATTTGTTTGATTCTATTTTTCCTCCCTAATCTACTTAGCATGTAGTTTGGGATGACAAAGTGCTTGTTTCCATTGAAGTGCTTAGCTTACTTATCTGTGGTACATACCATGATATATAACCTTGACTTTCTTCAGCCTAATATTCACTTAACTTGGTAGTGAGTCTGTCTGTCCTAATGGGTGTTAACTTCCAGCACATAGGTCTAAACATAAAGTGGCCCTAAATCAGTTCCTAGGTAATGACCGAAATAACCAGTAATGAATTTGAGTTCTAACTCAGATCTTTGCATTGAATGCAGCTGGGACAAAATTCATCACCCCTGACATGACAATCCATACCATCCTAACGTGTTTCAAAGGGCCTGCTGGAACTTCCTGGTGAACAAAGGTAATTAGTAGTTTTTAGAATTACCTGACTGCCAGTGGGCACCCTCTCTTTTCAACCATAACACTAGACATTACATGGCACAGGTCAATGGATAGTGCACCTTGGCAAGTTCTTTCCTTATTGTGGGACCCCATCCTAGTTGGTGGAAGGTGTGTCAACTCCAGGCCATTGATTGAAGCGTGTTGCAGACTCAGACTGAGAAGCCAGACCTTAGAAAAACAACACAATTAAGTCTTGGCACAAAAACAAGGAAGATCAAAGGTTCAAAGCCAGTCATCAAGCCAACCATAAACTTGAGGATCAGGAAAATGAGAAGTCAGGGAGCAAGGAGCCCTGCATGTCAAGACAAGGCAAGAAATGAGATGGAAGCAATGATACTCTCAGTAGTGATATGGGCATGTTATAAACTCCCCTTAGTGTCTCAAAGTCATTGTATTATTTAACTCTGGCTTTCCAAAGAGTTAGTCACATTGCAACCCCCCCCCCCCACCCAGTTGTTTACCTTTCATATAAGAAGCTATAAATAAGAGTCACTCTGTTCTATTCAGGGCTATAGAAACTAACTTTTTTCTGCCCTGGCTGGGTTGTTCAGCTGGTTGGAGCATCATCCCATACACCAAAAAGTCGCAGGTTTGGTCCTTGGTACCTACCTAGGTTGCAGGTTTGATTCCCAGTTGGTGAGCATACAGGAGGCAACCAAGCAATATTGCTCTCTCACATCGATGTTTCTCCGCCCCTTCCTCTATCTGTCTAAAATCAATAAAAGCATATCCTCAGGTGAGGGGAAAAAATAAAAACTAACTTTTTTCACTTTGCCATCAAAGGGAGCTTTTAAGAATTGACTAATTAAGCTTCACAGTAATAGATTCAAAGTACAGCCCCCTCCTGAAATAAAGTCCCATTTGGAACAGAAGCTTTTTTGGGCTGTAACTAGACAGCAGTTTAAGACAGAGTGTGGAGGACAACATATGGGACAGAAGCCCAAATGGATGAAAGAGGAAAATAGGACAGGAAGCTAAAAAAGATGTGTACTCAATTTCTTTAGTATAAATAGCATTGTCTGTAATCTCAGGTATATGATTTGGCAACTGCTAATGGAAATCATTTCCAGTGTTGCAAATGGGCAAGCAGCAGGTTGGTGGATTCTTTTATAAAAATGGGCAGGCCTCTGAAAGACTCTGAAACACGCAAAATTTCAGTTGGGTTACTTTTTTTTCTGCTTGTTGATATAACTGGAGTCCAAACCTCTTAAACTAAATAGGGATGACTGTTTACCCACATAAACAGTAAGTTTTGATTGCCAACAGAAGCCAACCTTAGTAAGAGTGGGTGCAAAAAATCACAGAGCTGTCAGCCTCACTACACATTCATGACTACCATACTCATCCAGGCCCTCTGCCATTTATTTACCCCTCCCAGGATGAATCCCTATCTCATTCATTATCAAAAGTTTTTTTCTCCCTCTTTAGCTCTCACCTCCTTTGTGCAGCCCTCATTCTCAACAGAGCATCTCACTGTCTAACCTGAATTGGTCCTATTTCCTTCCCATCCATATCTGGCATTAATTTTTACTCACTCTTTCCTCATTTTTCTCATGCCTCAAAAGAAGCAGTGTCCTTACTCACTTCCAGGACCAATCCTTCCTCTTGATTTTATCTCCCCTTATCTTCTTTGGGGCCTTATTCCATTTATCAAAACTCTCCAATATCATTTTTTTAAATGTTATATATATATATATATAAATAATATATATAATTATATATATATACATACACCTATTGCTGCATAAAAAGCACTCAAAAGCTTTAGTGGCTTAAGACTACAATAGTCAGTGCTCGCTTTGGTGGCACATATACTAAAATTGGAACGATATAGAGATTAGCATGGCCCCTACGCAAGGATGATAAGCAAATTTGTGAAGCGTTCCATATTTTTACATGTTATCAAACTGTATTACAAGGCAATGGTACTCAAAACAATCTGGTACTGGCATAAGAACAGACACATAAACCAATGGAACAGAACAGAGAGCCCAGAAATAAACCCAAGTCTCTATGGTCAATTAATATTTGGCAAAGGGGGAAGAAGCACAAAATGGAGTAAAAATAGCCTCTTCAACAAATGGTGTTGGGAGATCTGGACAGCTACATGCAAAAAAATGAAACTGGATCACCAACTTATACCATACACAAAAATAAATTCAAGGTGGATAAAAGACTTAAATATAAGTTGTGAGACCATAAAAGTCCTAGAGGGCTTTGGCAGGAAACATTGGCAGGAAAATCTCAGACATTCCATGCAGCAATTCTTCACTGATGTGTCCTCTAAAACAAGGGACATAAAGGAAAGAATAAACAAATGAGATCTCATCAAATTAAAAAGCTTCTGCATGGCTAAAGAAAATAGCATTAAAATAAAAAGAGAACCAACTATATGGGAAAACATATTTGTCAATGACACCTTGGACAAGGGTTTGATCTCCAAAATATATAAAGAACTTGTACAACTCCACTCCAGAAGGCAAACAACCCAATAAAAAAAATGGGCAAAAGACTTGAACAGACCCTTCTCCAGGGACATACAGAGGGCCCAGAGGCATATGAAAAGATGCTCAGCATCACTAGTGATCAAAGAGATTCAAATTAAAACCACAATGATACATTACTTCATACCAGTCAGAATGGCCATCATAAATAATTCAACAAACAAGTGTTGGAGAGGTTGTGGAGAAAAGGGAACCCTAGTGCACTATTGGTGGGAATACAGACTGGTATAACCACTGTGGAAAACAGTATGGAATTTCCTTAGAAAACTAAAAATGGAACTGCCTTTTGACCTGGCAATTCCACTGCTGGGATTATACCCTAAGAATCCTGAAACACCAATCCTAAGACCCTATGCACCCCAATGTTCATAGCAGCACAATTTACAATAGCCAAGTACTAGAAGCAATCTAAGTGCCCATCAGTGAATGACTGGATCAAAAAACTGTGGTACATTTACACAATGGAACACTATGCAGCAGAGAGAAAGAAGGAGCTCCTACCCTTTGTGACAGCATAGATGGAGCATTATGCTAAGTGAAATAAGCCAGGTGGTAAGGGACAAATACCATATGATCTCACCTTTAAAAGGAACCTAATCAACAACAAAAAACAAGCAAGCAAAATATAACCAGAGACAGTGAAATTAAGAACAATCTGACAGTAACCAGAGGGGAGGTGGAGGAGATAATGGGGGGAAGGGTTTTCAGGAACTACTATAAAGGACACATGGACAAAACCAAGGTGGGAGTGGGAGTGGAAGCAAGGGAGGGAGGTGGGTTTGGCTGGGGTTTGGGAGGAGTGGTGGGGGGTAAATGCAGACAACTGTAATTGAACTACAATAAAATACTTAAAAAAGACTACAATTGTCAATATTTGCTTACAATTCTGCAATTTGGGCACAGGAGGGCTTCTCAGAGTGGTCCGCTCAGTGACCCAAGTGTGCGATCCAGTGATCACAGTTGCTTCACTCATGTTTGGTGCTATAGCTGGTAGGCCTAGAACAGCTGGGAGCTGACTGGATCTCTCTTTCTCTCTCTCTCTCTCTCATTTTGTGGTACTTCCATGTAAAAGAGCTTGGATTTCAACTCTAGAAGGTTGGTGTTGTCAGCTTTAGATCTCTTTGATGGTGGTTGGCTCCTACAGAGTACAAAATCAGACGATGCCAAGCCTTCTTAGTATCTTTGATTAAAACATTACATTCTACTGGTCACAGAGTAATTTCAAATTCAAGAGGAGGGAACTCCAGAAGGACATGATAGTGGGAGACAGATCTCACTGGGGTCACCAAAGCAACAGACTACCACCTGGTCTCTTCCTTTTCTGCTTGAATCAACTTTCTTTATGCTAATAAAACCTTCTTTCCACCTTATTCTCCTCAAAGAGTTATAACATTCTCTCATTTACATTTCATCCCAATTCTCAAAAATAAATCTCTACTTGTATTTCCATCAAGGCACACCTCTCATTTACTCCCCAACCCATGGCAATCTGGCTTTCAATCTCATCACATTGTTAAAAACTAACAGCAACTTTGTATTGTTAATTCTACACATTTCCTCTTTGTCCTCCTTTTACTGTGTTTCTCTGAATCATTTATTTTTGTTGACCTCCTTCTTGAAATCCTTTCCTCATTTGGTTTCTGAGATATTGTGTAGTTCTTCTCCAAGCTCACTGCTTCTTAATATTTTTCTCTCTTTCTCTTCCTCTGCATAAATGTAGGAGGCTTCTGCATCACCTCTACTCCCATGTGACTCAGTCTGTCACTAGGTTATCATAATCCTACCCTGGTAAATCTAGAAACCACCCCCTCTCTCCATCCCCATTGCTCCTACACTAATTTAGAGCCTCATTTTCTCCTCATTAGTCAAATGCAAGAGCCTTCTATTTAATCTTCAACACTCCAGATTCTGCCCCTTCCAATCTTACAAACTGGCATAAGAGTTAGTTACCTTCACTTACACAGAACAATCAATGCTCAAAAACTTTGCTAACAAACTTATTGCCAATCAGGAAAAGTTTAGTCTTTTGTTTTATTTTGCCAAACTATAATTCTGGTCTTGGACCATATTTTCAAATACCACACCAAATTACCATAGACTAAGCTTTTGTCCCATGGAACATTTCTCCATCTCTAAAGATGTCTTATGTTTTGCTCTTTCCATACATTTCCTTCAGAAAACTATTCATCATCTTTGCCTATTGAAAACTTCCTCATCCTTTAAGGTCAGCCTAAAAGCCACATTTTCCACAAAAACCTCTCAGAAAAAAATGACTCTACTTGCTTTATACCTATAGAATTTTGTTTTGTTATTGCTTTTAGAGAATATAAGTTATAACGGGTGATTTTAGTGTTCCTCACTAGATTGTAAACCTCTTGAGACTAGAGATTCAGTAATCTCAGCATCTAGAACAGTTGGTAAGACCTTAAAATCATTGAGTTGAATTGTATAAGCATTATGAAGTATTTATTGGCCTTCAACCTTTAGCCAAGGAGTTGTGTAAAATGAGAAATGTTTCCTTTAATATATGTGATTTGGGTGCCAGCTTAGAATAAAAGCTCTCTGAGGACAGGATTTCTAAGATCCTACCCAACTCAAATCACTCAGTGGCACAAATATTCATTAAATTCTAGAGGAACACTTAAAAAATATCTAGAATTTTCAAGTGAAGCAACTCTGAGTTACCCCAGATTACCTGGATAATTGCCTTACTTCACCATCTTGTTTTACACTATCACTAGGATTTATCAAGAATGGATGTTCATGAAATCTTAATAACTCTATGGATAAGTGTGAAGTGGCAGCACTTTCACTAGCAGCATGCAGATATATAAGCATTTCCATTAAGTGTGTAAAATAGTATGCAGATAAATCTATACAAAATGGAATAAGAAAATATTGGTATTTCATGTTACAAGAGGAAAATATTCAATTACTCCTAGTAACAACTACAACAAAATTCTACCATGCCTGTGGGCAGCAATTAAGTCTCTGTCTCACTGTCACAAAGAGATTTGTTCCTAAGACATAGAGATCAACAAATCAATTCTATTTTGCTATCTCCCTATACTTTATTTAATATTCATTTCTCATGCATCTTTGTCTAACAATTTCCAACTTTTGTGCATTAGATGGCTTAACCCACCCTTCCAGTCTCTGTCAAGTAGTTACTGGTCTGACAGAGCAGTACTCACTACTGAAGAAGTGAGTTCCTGTTTGAAAGGAATCCTAGTGTGAATACTTCTGCAGACTAAGTGATTAGATCCTGATTTGCACTTGGAAAAATCAACCTTCTATAAACAGCTCATATGTATAATTGCAATTTATGATTACATTTGGTTCCAAAGATAGTTTAAAAATTGATTACTAAAAAAATGGAACAAAAATTTTCCATACAAATCATTTTGGCCAACTTCCACAAAATGATACTTTTTAACTCTAATGTGGGTGACCTGTAGCACACAAGCACTGCTAATGAGTAGATCAATTTCAGGATCCTGGGACCTGAGAGCATTGGATGCCAATAAGAAGAAATAGGAGAATGGACAAGTTTCCTCTTTTCAGTCCTTGGGAGATGGTTCTAAGTAATACTTCAAAAATGCAAGATTTTCTATCAGTACTCTTCTACTCCCTAATTGAACTTTTTCTTTCCTAGGCACTTCCATCCTTAGGCTCTTGCCCTAAATTTCTTTTTATAGTCTGTTGCTTGAATGTCATTAAAAGACGTATTTCAGGCTTCATCATAACTTAAACAAACTCATCCTCTCTCTTCCAAATTGCTCTGCCATGCAGTTGGGCTAAGAATGCAGGAAGCCAGGACTCTCATGGGGAGAGGAGAGAGAGTGCCAGTCTCAGAGAGAAAGAGTCCTTATCTCTTAGAGATAACACTCTCAAATATTACAGATGAAATAATATCTAGGGTTTGTTTCAAAATAATACAGGATAAGAGTGTGCATCGCAGGACAGATGAACAGAACTGATAATTCTTAAAGCTCTTGATGGGTATATGAGGTCCACTGTACTCTTAGCTCCATTTAATTATACGTTTAAACGTTTCCATCATGAGGACACATGGCAAGCCAAGGGGGAGGCAGAAACAAGGGAGGAAGGAGGGTTTGGCTGGGGTCAGTGTGGGGGGAGTGGTGGGTAGTAAACACAGACAGCTGTAATTGAACAACAATAAAATAATCTAAGAAATAAATTTCAATTAATCCCTGAAAAAAATTTCCGTCATAAAAATAATTTTTAAAATTCTTAAACCTGCATCTGTTTTTGTGTTCAGCCTCTTTCCTTACTGGAGCAAAATTTTGTCAGACTCACCTCTACTTCTTCATCTCCCATTCGCAGTCATTGCAATCAGGCTTTTCGTGGCCCGCTACTCCACTGAAAC